GGAACTCATTGTCATTATATTACTATTACAAAACCGATTGCCATAAAAGCAGAGTTCAATATATACACAAATATCTTTTATATCATTATGTCTTTAAGATATATACCAAGATAAATTCTATATTTTCTTTAACGCATAATAAACCTTACTCTCAATTTTACATAAAAATCACAGACTTTTACAACATCCATTTTGAAGATAAAACTTTGTTCCAATGTCTGATAACATTACATGTCTTAATGATTATCTATCTACAAGAAGGACATCCAATTATAAGTTTACGCTTGATAGTACTTCTCTTTGAAAAAGCCCACTGCTTTACAATTTTTACTCACTAATGACTCATGGAACTCATTGCCATTATATCACAAGTGACTCACGAAACTCATTGCCATTATATCATTAGTGACTCGTGGGACTCATTGCCATTATAACACTAGTGACCCATGAAACTCAATGCCATTATATCACTAGTGACTCATGGAACTCATTACCATTATATCACTTGTGACTCATGGGATTCATTGCCATTATATCACTAGTGACTCGTGGGATTCATTGCCATTATATCACTAGTGACTCATGAAACTCATTGCCATTATATCACTAGTGACTCGTGGGATTCATTGCCATTATATCACTATTGACTCATGGGACTCATGGCCATTATGGCCATTATATCACTTGTGACTCATGGAACTCGTTGCCATTATATCACTATTGACTCATGGGACTCATGGCCATTATGGCCATTATATCACTTGTGACTCATGGAACTCATTGCCATTATATCAAGTGACTCAACTCATTGCCATTATATCACTAGTGACTCATGGAACTCATTGCCATTATATCACTAGTGACTCATGAAACTCATTGTCATTATATCACTCGTGACTCGTGGGACTCATTGCCATTATATCACTAGTGACTCATGAAACTCATTGCCATTATATCACTAGTGACTCGTGGAACTCATTGCCATTATATCACCAGTAACTCATGGGACTCATGGCCATTATGGCCATTATATCACTTGTGACTCATGAAACTCATTGCCATTATATCACTAGTGACTCGTGGGACTCATTGCCATTATATCATTTGACTCAACTCATTGCCATTATATCTTTAGTGACTCAATGAACTCATTGCCATAATATCTCTAGTACACATGGAACTCATTGCCATTATATCACTAGTGACTCATGGAACTCATTGCCATCATATAGTGACTCATGGAACTCATTGCCATTATATCACTTGTGACTCATGGAACTCATTGCCAGTATATAGTGACTCGCGGAACTCATTGCCAGTATATAGTGACTCATGGAACTCATTGCCATTATAAAGTGACTCGTGGAACTCATTGCCAGCATATAGTGACTCGTGGAACTCATTGCGATTATATCACTTGTGACTCATGAAACTCATCGCCATTTTATCACTAATGACTCATGGAACTCATTGCCATTATATCACTAGTGACTCGTGGAACTCATTGTCATTACATCACTTGTGACTCTTGGAACTCATTGCCATTATATCACTAGTGACTCATGGAGCTCATTGCCATTATATCACTAGTGACTCATAGGACTCATTGCCATTATATCACTAGTGACTCATTTAACCAATTGCCATTATATCACTAGTGACTCATGGAACTCATTGTCATTATATTATTAGTGACTCGTGGGACTCATTGTCATTATATCACTAATGACTCATTGGACTCATTGTCATTATATCACTAATGACTCATGGAACTCATTGCCATTATATTACTAGTGACTCATGGAACTCATTGTCATTATATCACTAGTGACTCGTTGAACCCATTGCCATTATATCACTAGTGACTCATTGGACTCATTGTCATTATATCACTAGTGACTCATGGAGCTCATTGTCATTATATCACTAGTGACTCGTTGAACGCATTGCCATTATATCACTAGTGACTCATGAAACTCATTGCCATTATATCACTATTGACTCATGGAACTCATTGCCATTAAATTATTAGTGACTCATGGGACTCATGGCCATTATGGCCATTATATCACTTGTGACTCATGGAACTCGTTGCCATTATATCACTATTGACTCATGGCCATTATGGCCATTATATCACTTGTGACTCATGGAACTCATTGCCATTATATCAAGTGACTCAACTCATTGCCATTATATCACTAGTGACTCATGGAACTCATTGCCATTATATCACTAGTGACTCATGAAACTCATTGTCATTATATCACTCGTGACTCGTGGGACTCATTGCCATTATATCACTAGTGACTCATGAAACTCATGGCCATTATATCACTATTGACTCATGGAACTCATTGCCATTATATCACTAATGACTCGTGGGATTCATTGCCATTATATCACTAGTGACTCATGGAACTCATTGTCATTATATCACTAATGACTCGTGGAGCTCAATGCCATTATATCACTAGTGACTCATGGAACTCATTACCATTATATCACTGGTGACTCATGGAAATCAATGCCATTATATCACTAGTGACTCATGAAACTCATTGCCATTATATCACTAATGACTCGTGGAACTCAATGCCATTATATTACTAGTGACTCATGGAACTCATTGCCATTATATCACTGGTGACTCATGAAACTCATGGCCATTATATCACTAATGACTCGTGGAACTCATTGCCATCATATAGTGACTCATGGAGCTCATTGTCATTATATAGTGACTCGTGGAACTCATTGCCATCATATAGTGACTCATGGAGCTCATTGTCATTATATAGTGACTCGTGGAACTCATTGCCATCATATAGTGACTGATGGAGCTCATTGTCATTATATAGTGACTCGTGGAACTCATTGCCATTATATCACTAGTGACTCGTTGAACCCATTGCCATTATATCACTGGCGACTCATGAAACCCATTGCCATTATATCACTAGTGACTCATGAAGCTCATTGCCATTATATCACTAGTGACTCGTGGAACTCATTGCCAATAAAAAGTGACTCATGGAACTCATTGCCATTATATAGTAACTCATGGAACTCATTGCCAGTATATAATGACTCGTGGAACCCATTACTAAACCATTGCCATAAAAGCAGTGTGACTTGTGAAAGGGTTGATGATGATTTATGCTTAGTGTCTGTAAATGTTTCTTCAGTTAAATAACACAAAAAATTCAAATTGGATAAACAGATTTAATGATAAATAGCAAGTCCACACCAAAAATCGGTGGTGGTTGTACATTTTGATAAAACTAGGCCATAACCAAATAGACCAAAATATATACAGAATTTATACACAAATATCTTATATATTATTATGTCTTTAAGATATATACCAAGATAAATTCTATATTTTCTTTAACGCATAATAAACCTTACTCTCAATTTTACATAAAAATCACAGACTTTTACAACATCCATTTTGAAGACAAAACTTTGTTCCAATGTCTGATAGCATTACATGTCTTAATGATTATCTATCTACAAGAAGGACATCCAATTATAAGTTTACGCTTAATAGTACTTCTCTTTGAAGAAGCCCACTGCTTTATAATTTTTACTCCTGATTTTGACATTATTTGGGTGAGACTTTTGATTGATGGAATTGTCTTGCTTGTACGGACTTTTAATACTAAATATAGAACTTGACTTAAGCAACATCTTGAATATACAAATAAAATCGCATGCAACAATGACTAAATGCTTCTGTTTTTAAGCATCTTAAAACTTATGGAAATTGATTTTTGCTCTCTTTTTTTTTTTCAAATAAAATCGTGTTTTACAAAATCTAATCTTGTGTGTGATATAATTTTCGTTTTAACAAAAATAGGGCTTTGAAGCACAAGGCATTATTTGGTAACTAAATAAGGGTGATCCCTGAATAGAGATGACCACTGTAAAGGTGTCCATTAAATGAGGGTCTCTGCAGAAATTGGTTGACCCATAAGAAGGCGCGTCCACTGAATAGAAGTGTCCACTGAATAGGGGTGTCCACTGAATAGAAGTGTCCACTGAATAGGGGTGTCCACTGAATAGAAGTGTCCACTGAATAGGGGTGTCCACTGAATAGAAGTGTCCACTGAATAGGGGTGTCCACTGAATAGGGGTGTCCTATACTTAAAACTTAAATAATAAGGGTAAAAGACTCTAAAATAACATTAAACCTTAACAAATAACAGATACATAATAAGGAATATTACAAATTACAATCAATTATCTGACATCCCTTAGAATTTCATTGAACTCTTCCACACTTTCGCATATTCTAAATCAATAGCATACAATGTTATAAAAGTATGGGAGAGTTCATTTGTAGAATTAGGGATATTTAATGTCTACTCACACCTTGCTTTTTGAATTGTTCATGAAGGAAACAACAATAATTTACAAGGATACCAACTTAGTTTCTCATGGATTGTGTCTACCAGCTGGCCTTTGTCCAAAAAAGATGAAAAAAATCTGTTTAAAAAAAGCAATTTCATTACAATATCATTTTGAATCTATTATATAAATGTTGATAATTTAAAAAATTAAGCCTTGAGAAGGGCATTGACAACAGCCTTGGCATTCAGATTACGGAGATCAGTGTACGTCTGCCCAGTACCAACAAATACTATTGGCTGTCCTGTTGTATAGGTCATAGATATAGCTGCTCCAACCTGAAATATAAATATTTTTGATAAGAGATACACATACTTAATGAGGGGATACAGGTGTCTAAGTAGCTTAGAATGAGCAAGTTGAATCAGAGCTAGAGTGGCACCATCTTTGATTGGTTTGTCTGTTAAGCTCCTCCCTCCAAGACAGATCATTCGTACACTATCATAGGTTAAGACCCCCCCCCCCCTTTATTTTAAGACCCTTCTTCCAACATAGCTTAGGTTACACCCCTCTTTCATCATATATCATTTGTACACTAATATGTGTTTAGGCCCTAGTTTTAATTGTGACTTGGCCACACCCAATATCAGTGTCATATTAGAATGGTCAGTTAAGTCCCTCCCACTAAAACCAAGCCACACCCATGTTTTACCTTATCATCAATGGTATCAAATTTACTGAGTATTATACCATCAATCAGTCGTGGGTCTGTCATATTAGAATGATCTGCCAGCGCCTGGTTAAACCTGGTCAATTGGTCTACAGCCTCATTTCCCACTAGGGCTTCACCCACAAACAGAACTAGATCAGGTTGGTTCAATTTTATAAGCTGGAAATGAAACATGAAAGATTTTTTTGACTTTTAGAAGTGGAGAGTACATATCCAGTTTAATCAAAATTAGACCAAACTTTCGTTGTTTTTTTATAAGCTTATATATTTTTAATATAGCCACTTCAGTTAGAGTCTCACGACAGCCCTCTTGAACATTGTCAAATTAACCTTTTGACCTAGCACAAATCAAAAATACAAAACACTCCTGATTAAAGTCCTGTCCACATCATTTTACTTTAATTTTCAACGTAACCTGTTTGTGTTTAGAGGTTAAAAAAGAAAGGTAATAATTTGAATATTTAAACCAACCTTGGCTAGAGCTCTCATCAATGGTTCATTATCCTGCATCCTACCAGCGGTATCAACCAATACAACATCTATTCTTCGGTCACGAGCTGTAATAAATATACCACAATTAAGCAATTGAATACACCCACTCTTAAAGAGATTGCAAAGGAATTGCAAAGAGGTTTTTATGTGTATCATTGATTTGAACCATTTCAATCTCAAGTCAGATGTCGGTGGTTCCTGCAATGCCACTGAAACTAACCGTTTTAAAACAAAAAGAAAGAAAGAAACACTCATTTTTACAAGGATAACAATTTAAATTCATGAGGATCATTTATAACTGCTGGTCCTTGACCAAACCTTTTGATATTGATCTTGCCCCTACTTACAGCTGGGTCATCATTGCAAAGGGCACCTTTCTTGTATCAAGGAATGCAACAATTTGATTGTATGATACGCCAGAGAATACAGCCAATCAGAGTCCTCAGTAATCCAATCAAAGCGGTTTATATACATGATCCATGATACAAGAAAGGTGGCTATTGCCGTCAAGGTATGAGTATGAAGTTCGTAAGAGCATGACATTGTGCAGACACCTACCATGGTTAATGGCCTCTAGAGCTATACCAGCAGCATCCTTCCCATATCCCTTCTCATACAGTTCTACCATTCTCTGACCATTGTGGGCCTCCGGTGGGTGAAGGGAGTTCAGTTTACGAACATGAGTTCTCAGCTGTTCAACAGCTCCTGCTCTAAATGTATCACAAGCTGCTATCAATACACGGAATCCATTCTCAATCAACCAAAAACAGATCTACAAATACACAATATGAATTACATAATAGTATTGTCAAAGGGGGATAACAGCACCAGGTATTCAAGAACTGTGAGAGGTGGGGGAGGGAGTCTGGCGGCGAGGATTTTGATTTTTATAAGTTTCTAACCAGATATTAGAACACCTAAATTGAGACTTTGTACCAAAATTCATCAAGAATGTATGAAAAATGCAAAAATAGAGCACAATTGTTCAGAAAAATGTCCTAAAGATCAAAATTGCAGTCAGTCATTTTGGACTTCCAATCAGACAGGACTGGCAAAAACAGAGAAATCTAAATCAACAGCACTGGGTTGGCCCAAGTTCTGGCAATGTCTAACAAACCTTGGCTAAATTAGTTGATTTTCCAACCCCATTGACTCCACAGAAAGTGATAACATAGGGTCGTTTTTTACTGCGACAGTCCATAGCATCACGTAGAATGTCAATACGTCTCTTAGGAGCCAATAACTGGACACAGGAATCTTGTAGAGTCGCCTTTACAGTCGTAGTTATTCCTAAAATTTATAAATTTTCAAATATGAGTTTCGAATTTAACAAATTAAAATGACCTAAAAGGCTGACATAAAAACAAATCTTGCTAAATTTCAAATACTCTCTGGTATCAGATTCTATGATGTATGTATGGACATATTTGGATGATGCAGCTTCTTTACTAATGTTGAGAGCCTGATTTTTAATCCCTTACTTTCAGATCAGAAAAAATATTAAAATATGACTGAAATAGAAGTTTTACTTACTACTGAAAGTTCCCAGAACTTTTCCTTCCAATTTTACAGCAACAGAGTCACACAGATTCTGAGCAATATCTGCTGCCACATTTTTAGCTATAAATAGAAAATAACACCATGGCATAAAATCTTGACATATACTTGCCAAAAATAGATATAAATACTGTTTCACAACATACAGTTCTCACTCTAACCCTAGGGATTGAATCCTCCACAAGGTAAGAAACATTCTGATGCCTGTGCTAGTGGTTCTGAGAGTCAGCCCAGTGTCTGCTCTCACCCCCTAATACTGAAATTATCCTTAAAATGAGTGCTGCATTCAAAGAAGACATCCAAAATTGCTCAGAAAACTATAGTACAATATCAGAATGTAATCTATTTGAAACCAGTCGGTCATTCCAACTTGGAAATCAAAAAATGAAATTTGTGCTCTTGAGAAAAGTATGCACATGTTCAAGGTGTAACATTTAGCAGTATTGGGGTCAAAGTTCAAATATTAGTCACAACATACCAATAAGATGGTCCCTCATCTTGTCTAAAGCTGGTGCTACATCTTCTTTAGTTAAAGCTTTAGATCCTACCAGGTTTTTAAACATGTTAAACATTCCAAACCCTCCAGATTTATTAGATCTACAATATACACAAAAAACACATAAATTATACACAAAGATATGAATTACATGTATATGAAAACTTACAGGGACAGGTTCACCATCCATTAGACCAATCTTACCTTAGTGTCAGAGACAGGATTTTTTTTTAGCAAAACAGTAATAGTGTTCACATCTCACTGTCTAAATTTGAGCCTTCAAATCTATGTGTTTCCAGAATTACCTATGTTTGTAATTTAAAACGACTCCTCCTCTTTTAGAGATATTTAAAAAGAGTGAAACTTAGCAAAGTGTTAAAAAAACGTACTTGGTATTGGTTTGTTGTCTTTCTTCTTCTTCTTCCTCTTCCTCTTCCTCTTCACTGGACTCAACCTCTATATCCTGTAGACTACCTGACATCTTACCAACAAGAGCAACCTGGGTAACAAGAAAGATCATGTTTAGGTTGTCTAAAATGAAATGATACAAGACTTATCTTGCATACTCTTGTGCGTCTCTCATACATAACTCTTACATATTTCCTTTCAGACCACAAATAAATTCCTAGCAAATGATATTAACATTGTAACATTTATTCCACAAACATATTGTTCAGTCTCTCTGTGGGGATCATTGATTGGCTCATTCACTATCATACAATCCAATCAAATTGCTGCATTTTCAAACTGCTATGATACAAGAAAAGTGCCTTATGATGTCAAGGTATAAGAGAGAGTCCTGACAATGTGAAGATTGTACTAATAAAATTAAATCAAACCTCAGCCTCTGATGGAGCTATAGTTTCATCTTGTTGACCGTTTTCATTAGGTACACAGTAATCTAACTCAGCAAAATCTTTACTGGTTCCCCCCATATCCCACTTCGTGGCTTTTTTACCTTTCTTCTTTTCTTCTACTTTAGGGCTTTTAGGACTTTAAATAAATAACATCTTAATCATCTGATGTCATTATGCAACCAAGTTTCCTTTCAGAGTGTCCACATGGCAATACTAGACTGTATTAAACATCTGGAACCACTCTAAGACTGTGTTTTGTAAATTTAGCTCCCCATTTTACAGAGTACGCATGGTCAAATCTTATAATCATAAAACATCGGGAGTCACTCAAAGACTGCGTTTGTCAATTCAGCTTCCCTTTTAGAGAGTCCACATGCTATAATTATCTTATTAATGCACAGTGTTCACACAAAAGTACTGTAAATTTCTTATATAAAAAGCCCTGCTGTGGAATAGCTCAGTTGGTAGCGTATCGGGGTTGATCGGGGCGCATCTGCTAGGTGTTAAGGTGCAGTGGGTTTGAATCCTCAAGGTAAGAAAAATTCTGATGCCTGTGCCAGTGCTTCAAAGAGTAGGCCCAATGTCGGCTTTCACCCCCAAATACCTAAGCCCTGACCTGTGCTTGCTAATCTAAATATTTTGAGCACTCACCTTTCAGACTTTGGTTTCTTGCCCTTATTAAATAGTTTCATTCTATTTTTCATGATTGTCTCCTCGTCAAGTTCTCCATTAGTATTAGTAGTCGAGGTAGAGGAATTATTAATATTATTATTATTACTAGTATCTACTGTTCCATTAGTCTTAGCACTCTCTACTACACTCGGCACCGATTTACTATTTTCTACCACTGAAATGAAGTGAGTTAAATTTATTTTCCAAATGGCATAAGGAACTGCAGAGAAATTAAATGCTCAAATTGAAATGAAATGGAGTTTTGCTTCCATATTTCATTAAAGAGTAGGCTAATGAAGATACAACGCCATGCAGTGGGCAATGAAGGTTTTTTTTTATTGTCAAAGGATATTTAAATTGCACAGCCTTTAAAACACAGGGCTTCAAAATACATCACTGACAGGGAGAAACCTTAAGATATCAGCCCAGCCTACGACAGACCACTTCAGCTCCAAGCTAAAAAGCTAAAGTCTTTTCCAGACCACCATAATTTTACTCAAAAATAAGTTTGGCTTACATTTTGGCAGTTTACTCTCCTTTCCTTTAGCAGGTTTTTTATTATTATCTTTTTTATTTTCTATCATAGATGATACACTTTTCTTAGATTTGTTGGATTCTTCATATGTTTTCATTTGTCTGCAAAAAAAACCCCTGTCTTATGAGCTAAAATTCAGATGCAGTGTACAATGAAGGAAAATTGTCACAATAGGAGCTCCATTTAGTGATAAACCAATAAGATTTTACTGTAATTCTCAAGTGACATTTAGTGTTAAAGATCACATTAATACTGTGTTCTGTTATTCAAAATGATTATAAACTTACTTAGGCTTTCTGGCCTCCTCTTCACTCTCTCTCTCCCGAAGTCGAAGCAATCCATGGAATGAATCATTAAAATCAAAATTCGCAGAATAATCTTTATGTTGTAAGACATTTTTATATCTATTTCTAAACTCAATTTGTATATCAGTTAAAAATTTATCAACATACGATAACTTGGCTATATTCTGATACGCTACCTAAAAATATAAAATAATTTCATTTACAAAAAATTTCAATGGAGTTTTTTAAAAAAATGGAAAGAATCATTTATTAGAAGGATAATAACTTAAATTAACGAGAATCCTGTCTACCAGCTGGTAGTTAATATAGTTATTCCATCAAAAAGTGAAATAGCTCAATTGGTAGAGAGTTGGATTGTTATTTGTTTGGCTATTCGGTGCAGTAAGTTAGAATAAAATTGTTGTCAAGATAAGAAAAAAATCCTAAAGCCACAGTCATTGCTTTCGAAAGTTGGCCTGGTGTCTGGCAACAACTTTCAACCTAATTACCCAATACATACTTACCACAAACACCAACTCAAACTCATTATCAAGTTTGTATTTTAATATCAATTTATCGTGATTAAATGTATTACTACCACTTCTCTCCTAAAAAAATAAACTTATCAATAAAAACAAATATTACATTGGTGAAGTAAAATTGATAACCGTATTGTGAATAATAAAAATCAAAGGATTTAATGTTAATTTCAAATCAGGCTTAGTTACATGTGAAATCCTTGCTAATATCAATGAAATGATAAACTTATTCGACACTTTCATATTTTTAAAATTAACTACAGGGCTTTAAGCCATATGTTGCCACTCGTTTTAAAATTTCTATAATTGGTCTCATTAGAGTAGCATAGGCTTATAATATATTCATTGATAGTATAGTATAGGCATATAAGCTTAAACATACAAGTTTGTGCCATTATTAATAGGCAACAATTAAAAACCAAAATGATATTTGGCTTGTTGAATGCTGTTAATTTAACTTATTAACACATTATTTTGTTCAATATCCAAATCAATTCTGTGTCAAATTGAATAAGGATGAGATAGATTGGTCAGATCATAATATGTGCTAATAGATTGTTTATCAAATACTGGAATAATATAAGCACTCAATGACTCTAGATCAATAGTAAATGGATTACGACATACGTATTTCACAGAATAGATCAAAAAGAAATTCGTCTGTTTCTGTTTACATCATTCACGTTTGATTCTATGAAATTTAATCAAAAAAGTAAAAATACCTGGAGAATCACACTCTTGATCAGAGCGTTGACAGAGGGAGTAAAAAGTTGAGATGTTCCTTGGAAACACCAAAGAACAATTCCACCTTTACTGAAAACACTAAAGAAATCCAACATCTTGAAGCTTTTTTCCAACTTTCACGTTACACTTTAAACCCGGATATGACGTTTTATTATGGCACGAGCATTGACGGAAAGTCCCGATATGCTTCCGAAGATGACGCCACGAGCAAGCACCTGCCGTAGCTACTGTAATAAACACCCTATGGGTTTTTACAATGGAACAATAAACGGTGAAAGCTTGATTGCCGACGGCGATTCGTTCATGGGCGATAATTTATAATGAAAAAACTTTACATCGATAATGAAAACATTGGAAACCTGTCTTTTTGCATATTATATTGCAAATTACAATTAGTTTTACTTTTGTAGTTGGTTATAAGAGCTCTGCATAATTTGACCCCTCACAAAACGATCCAATCAAAATAATTAAAAAGCTAATCAAATCACTTAACAGAAGTCACTTCCAATCAGATTAATTAGTTTTAAATGCATTTATGATTAAGAAGATTAGCAGAACTGATACCTTGTAGTTTATTTAGATGAAAGTCACTAAACAACAAAATGACATTAACTCGACAAATGCTTCAGACCTGGTAAAATTCCACCATTGAACAGTGCATGGTGCTGTCTGACTTTTTTCTTTTAGCCAAACTTGTAGCTAAAAAAAATAGGGGCATAAAATTCCATTTCATTTAATTAAGACCAAGAGCCTGTTTTGTTGATTATTTGGTTAATTACTGTACAGCCACCTCAGCCGACCTAACTATTGCTAAATATCCATTCGACATAGAAAATAGTGCATAAGGAATACTTTTACGAATGTTGTCAACAATATTTTTAAAATTTTGAAAGTGGTATAATTCAATTCATAAACCTAATACAAATGATATTCTAAAAATTTCAGTAATCGAAAATGTTTAGATTGAAAATAAAATTTAGGAAAATTTTTGTTATGTTAATGCGCTGAAGAAGAGCTGTGGATCCGCCATTTCTGTCACATGTTCGTTTTCCCTTCTCACATGACCTGTTGTTTGGCCCCGTGATCAAATTGCTGTATTTCCTGGCAAATTCAAAACTATTTCAAAAAGCCACATGGATATGCTTGGACAAACATTGGAAAATAGGTAAGTTGTGGTCGAATGGAAAAAACTTGATCGAATATGTGAAAAAAGTTGTCAATCCGTGTTGATAAATTTGTAAGCGGAAAATAGAACACTGAAATCCGGAAAACAAGAGTGGTAATTCTGCATTCGCGTCGGCTGCTAGCTGTCTTTTCACTTGAACCATTTGGAACTTGTGTCAAATTTGTCCACTCTGGAGATATAAATATTGAGATGATTAAAAATTTATAGAAAGAATTATAAATCGAAATGGCTTATCGTGTCAAATATGTAGGTCAAACCATGTCAACAACAAACTAGGCTATACTACAAAATGCTATTTCCTAATGTAATGTTTGTATGTAATGGCCTTACTATACAAGCTGTGTAACCCAGTGAACTAAAATAGTAGCAATGTCAATGATAATTGATAGCCTAATGGAGATGTGATCAAACATGAAAATTGATGTGGAAGTGGACTAAGCTTTATTTTATACACATAGTTTTGTACTTGATTTTCATCGGTTTATTTATGTTATAACTCCAGTGAGTAAGCTAATCATTGAAATTTTCATGTTGCAATATTTAAATTAGAACACTATTTCTTGCCCCACCCATACATGAAGTCATGAATCAAAGGTTTGGGCTGTGTCATTAAAAATTCAGTCTTTGCCATATGTATGTGTGTCAAACTAAATTTGGTTTAAGAATTGTCGAATGGTCTATATTCAAGCAAAAGTGTGTCACACGCCTGTTGTCAACTAATAGCATAAACAAATCAAAACAAAACAAAACATAAACTAGAGCCAACAGCAGTTTCTTTTCACAACAAAAACTAAATTTTCTTATACACTATTTTATAGATAAAAAAAAACAACCCCAAAATGAAGCTTTTAAATTGTCTCTGCCACCTGGCTATGCACAAATATTCTTGTGAGACGAAAGGATTATGGTGAAAACATTTCAAGTTATTGATAAAAAGGATTATTGATAATAAACTTGTACAATATTAATCAATCCAGTGATTATAAACATGTATAGAGGATAAGCTTAATTTAACTCCTTAGGTTCGGATTTAAAATTCCAATAATATTTGATTTGAGATTTAGAAGAAATAACAATATCTTAAGATTCTTTGATCAGTAAAAATGATTCTCAGGGAATTTCTGAGTTGAACCAATTGATATAGTGAGGCATGCCCTCATGTGTTTCTATGTATTATAATGACATTAAGAAAGGCCTGGGGGTCACAAAAATTGTTAATGGACACACAGGAAATTCTTTCTCCATTTGAAATGATTGAAAGTGTAACTGGAGGGAAGAGTGTTTCAACTTTCGAAGCAGGACAGCCTCAGTCCTCACCCACCCCTTCCCATTCTTGAAACACCTCTATATTCCCTGCCTAGCAAATAATTTAATATAAGCTTAGATATTAATATAGATATTGTATTTTTTGTAGTCAAGATAAAACGAATGAGTCTCCAGGTCCAGAGGACCATATTCAGTTAGAAGCTCATGTTCAGGAAGGTAAGAACAATCATTTTCTTTGATATATCATAGAATAATTTCTAATAAACACTGTATTTTAACAGGTTTATGCCATTAGCTATGAATATTGATATGAATCAGACCTATTATAATTATTTTCACGCGCTCAAAATTATGTTGTCATGAGAACAATGGAGCCATTGTTTTAATATAGTTCACAATATTTTGTATTTTTTTGAGTGTCACTGTTGCTGTTAGGAAATAGCTGAGTCAGCCTTCACCAGCGAGGAATATCACTTGCTTTGAATGTCATATATAGCTGTTTTATGGAAGATATGGGTTAAGTTAACTTACCTGGTGTCATATCTATACAAACAGATTCCCTGTATAATCTGATAAATCCATCCAACTAAGAAATAATTCATAAAATTAAGTAATTATCCTTTAAAGTAAGGGTTTTTCAATAACATATTTTTATAGATTTATAGGATTATACAGGGATTCTGTTGTATAGTTATGATACCAGACAAGTTCACTGATGAATATACACTCTTATTGGTCAATTTTGAGGAATTTAAATATGATTCTGTAAAAGATTAAGCTTATATATTACAAAAAAGAGTTTAAATTTCATATTTATTTGAAGAGGAAGTTCTTCCTTTAATTCCAAACAGATACCATTGGAATAACATCAAGTAATTATAATTTTCCTTGATAGGTGACCCAACAGAAGAGCAGGCTGCAGCCATTGCTAGTGTAGCTAATACTCAAGGCATCACACTGGATCCTACAGTACAATATCAGTTTAGGGCAGATGGCCAGGGTGAGTTACTTCCCTTTCCAGAATTGCTGTAATAATAATGATGATATCTTTATTACAAAAGGGTCAAATGTTAGCTTGTACATTACTGATGAGCATTAAGATCAGATCCTGTCTTTAAAGATGGGTTCCCTTGTTTTCATTTATGAAAATGATACTGCTAATACTTATATGAATAGAAAGTAGAGGTGTTCTAATGACTTGAAAAAATACCAGTTTGTCTCACATGACCATAATTAATTCATAATTAGCTAAATTAGAAGAGAATTACCAGCAGAATTCCAATGAGTGACCAATCAAGAAAGATCAAAAAGTCTTTTTTTGTTTATCCAGACTGTACAAACACGGACATTTGTGATTGGTTAAAACTCTTCTATCAATTGCAATAAGAACATTATGATATGATTAAGAATACATGATAATTCACTAGCAACACCAATTAATCAAGAAGTTGGCTTAATTTGACACTAAGAAATAAGGAAACCCTTCTTTAAGATAATGTGCTAAGCCTAAAGTCTATGTCAAAGGCAGGCATTTTCTACACTTATACCATGCATGCCACTGTCCCAAAACACAAATTCACACTTTCACAAATTTTTTTTCCTTTTTTTAATTTATTCTTTTAAAACATATTTTTAATCCTCTCCAGGTCCAGTAACATACAGAGTTGTTCAAGTGTCACAAGATGGTTCTGAAGCTACTGCCCAGGTTGTCACGACAACAGGTTTTCCTCAAGCACAGGTCACTCAGGTATGAAGCTGAAAACAAGCGTTGTTGATCCAACACACGACATCCCTAAGACTCAACATTCCCAATGTGTCTTCTAAGCCTATAAATCAAATTAGAAAAAGAAATTTGATTTTGAAATATTTTTTTAGGCTGTGATACCTAGCCAGTTCAGTAATGGAGGCAGCCCGATTCCAGAGGCACCAGAACAGAAGTTTGCTTACTTCCAAGGGGCTGGTGATGCTACAGCTGTCGCAACACAACAGCAATCTACTGATGTCACAGCTGCAGCTTTAGGTCAAGTGCAGACGGCTGGAGGTAAGGCATCGAAACTTTAAAACCTTGACTAGTATGTTAGAAGGAGGAGTTAGAGTTAGCCTGATTCCTAATTTGAATATAGGCTTGTCAGACATGTTTCTGGTATTTTAAATAGGAAAGTAAAAAGTTAGAAATTGAAAAGGAGCAGTCCATGGTCACAGCTGGCGTGAATCTCGTTGAATACAGCTTAACAAAATTTATATGCAGCATTTTATTTTCATTTTCTTTCACTAATTTCTTGTTGTCTTAAGACTGCTTTTTCGGGTTGCAGGTCAGTTTTACGTGATGATGTCCCCACAAGATGTATTACAGAACCAAAGGAGTATAGCTCCCAGAACGTCTTACACGCCCAAAATGGACGGAAGATCTCCCAGAGATGACAGACGTAGAGCTACACACAATGAAGGTTTGTTAAATGGAGTTATCTCCCTTATATAACATTTGTCAAGTTTGTATATGACTAACTTGGGAGATGTCAAAATGACAAATGATTACAAAATGAAGGCTAATGCCACTATCCTTCCAAAATTTCCCTTATTGCGCACTGTATTGAAAGTCTTCAATCTGGGATAGACAAATCGATGAAATTCTAATTGGTGTTTCCATTCCCTGACACTTATTGTATCTTTAAATGGAGTTATTTCCCTTGCCTAATGTCATGCTCTATATATTTACAGTTGAAAGGAGGAGAAGAGATAAAATCAACAACTGGATAGTTCAGTTGTCTAAAGTGGTTCCAGATTGTGCTGCAGAACAAGCCAAGACTGGTGCTGTAAGTCATTTTATTTCTTACATCTCTACTTGTCAAACTTCAGTAGGGACACAGGCTAAAATAGGTCAGTTGTCTGAAGAACACGCATCAAGAAACTCTTGAGTAACAACATGTTTCAGGTTCTGATTTCCTATTTTCTAATCTATTTATTTGTATAATTCTAGAGTAAAGGAGGAATATTATCAAAAGCGTGTGATTACATAACAGAATTACGGACATCTAACGCCCGAATGGCAGAAACTCTGAAAGAAACAGAACGTATTTCTGTAGACAATGAATTACTTAGACAACAGTGTGAGGAACTTAAACAAGAAAACAACATTCTGCGTAATCATTTACAACAGCATGGCATAGTTCCACCTGATATGCCTTCTTCCACCTAAATAAGGGAATGTTTCATCACAACTTGATTAATGGACATTAAAAGAAACAAGGATCTGTATTGAGACAAGTTGGAATGACCAGGCTCCAATTATTATTATTCTTCCATTTGTGCGACTTGTTTCTTAAATAATTGGATTAGTAACATATCAAATATTTGAACGAAATTATATAGAGTTTTACATTCTAAATATTGCATATATTAGTGTACGTTTTCTGCACTCAATTGGGATAAAGTTTTATGTTCTGCTATTTTCACCTAATTGGGCTGATGAAATGAAATAGAGTTTAACCTCCTACTTTCTGCACCAAATAACCAAAGTTGACTGAGTTTTATGGACAATTACGCACCTCAATGGGCCTCAAAAGATGATAAAAATTAGCAATTACCACCTGAAAACTGTGTCAACCTCGTAAATTGATTTAGAAAATCGAAAGTCAAGTGATGAAAACATTAATCCCAAGGAAATTAATGATCTTAACAGTGTCAAGTGTGCTTTATAGACAGAGAGAATGAATTCAGTGTTTTATATATATATATATATATTTTAATTATTACTTATGATTATATATTTAATATTATTGATGGAAATAGGTCAGTAATATTGTCGTATGTTATGCTAGTTGCAGACAAGTGTATTTTTCGTCTGATGACAGCGCGATTGATCCTCAATGGCAGGGGCAGCCATTCTGAATATCACATGCTATCAGAATCAATTCCATTTGCTTTGAGGAATAACGATTGTATCGACAAAATATGGTGGACACAGGAAAACAAGCGAATTTAATCGCCCGCGTAATTAACTGCCTGAAAATATCTAATTTATTTTATGGCGGCAATTCATACAGGCTAAAAGAATTGTTGTCATCATAAAAGTTCACCGCGATCAGATGATAAAATATGCTCTTCTGCCCCCATCATTAGATTAAATGTTAATATATCGGGTATACAGAATTTATTTTATTGATAACCAAGACTGGAAATAGAATGTCATACTAATCTGACACCCCTCAGTACTTTATTGAACTATTCCATGTATGTATTTTGTCAAGTAATATGATACATTATGTAAATATGGTAGAGTTCATTTGTAGAATCAGGGTTGATTATTTGCAACATCATTGTAGAAGATTTAGTAAGAAAAGATCAAGTTCATTTGCAGTATTTATCAATTCTGTGTTCAATATGCATTAGGATATATAATTGAATTTTAAATTTTGTATTTATCCTGTTGAGGACTTCATATCTGAATTGCTTTGACAATTTAAGATGAGCTCTTGTGAATATTTGTTAATATTTTAACCCTGTCTTTGTTCATTTTATTGTATGTATATATTGAATCATGTTGATTTATTGAAAGTCTTTCTATCCATTCTTCTCCTTGTTATAACTCAATCTGTTTTTAGGGGACTATTCGGTGCCGATTTTTTACAAAACTTCGCGTCTGTCCTAGTTACCAGAATGTTTAGGTATGGTGTTCATCACAGGAAAACTTTAAAAGAGAATAGAATTATATTCCAGCTATGGGTACCCATAGAACTACAATTGCGAATTTCATTTTGAAAAGTGTTAAGGGTAGCTCAAATAAAATTTTGTTGGTTGATTGAGTCTAAATGTCGATAAAATCTTATGATAAAACATGAATAACTATTCTTTATACCCTAACAATAAAAGGGGGAGAATGGAGAAGAAGACTATATTGTGAAATTTTATGAGAGAATATTTTTCAGGTGAAAATAAAGAAAGTGTGCTATTTGTTATAAATCTGAAATCATGAATAAAATGTACTATGTTGATTGTTATTTGGCCATTTTTATTTTCATCACGAGCCAAGATAATCGGCTAAGCACATGGGCAGACCCATATCTACAGGGGGGCCCAACCGACCAATTTCATTACTACCACTTAACACCATACCCCCTACAGATTTATTACTTGCCCTTTAAACAATCAAGAAGCATAGGTCCAGTAAAGGAACTCAGCTTTTCTCATCTGCACGACCAGACACATTCTGTCAGTCAACAAAGACCATCACAAACTGGAGACTGGAGGGTATCATCTCGACCTATGCCCAGAATGAACCTTGGACCTACAGGTATAGGAGCAAGCCTGTAGCTGCCAGACACTCAGTATATTCGCTCTATCAATCATTTGATATTAGCTGATTGTCTTATAGACTCCCTCAACCAGAACACTGATTGTCTTATAGACTCCATCAACCAGAACACTGATTGTCTTACAGAATCCATCAACCAGAACACTGATTGTCTTATAGACTCCATCAACCAGTACCCTGATTGTCTTACAGACTACATCAACCAGAACACTGATTGTCTTATAGAATCCATCAACCAGAACAATGATTGTCTTATAGACTACATCAACCAGAACACTGATTGTCTTATAGACTCCATCAACCAGTACCCTGATTGTCTTATGGACACCATCAACCAGAACACTGATTGTCTTATAGACACCATCAACCAGGACAATGATTGTCTTATAGACACCATCTACCAGAACCCTGTTTGTCTTATAGACACCATCAACCAGAACATAATTAAACTTCAAAATAAAATCAATAGATGATGAAACAGCACCAGACGTACAAATAAATTGCTTTTATTATGATGTTCATTGAATTGTGAACAGCTCTCTATAATTTCTCTACATTATCTCACACTTAATCATCAGGATACAATTTTCACTGCCAGACCAACTCACCAAGTCACCTAAATTTACTGCTTCAAGGTCATGTTTATTCTTGAATAAAGGCAAACAACTTCAACACATTTGCTGCTGATAGCTTAACAGGTGTCAACATTTTTAAATGAATACAGGTATTCTAATATCAGAAATTGGACCTCATATGAAGTAATTGCAAGTCTACTTTGCTTTTTAAACAATTGTATGTATTTTTAACACAAAATTCATCAGACTGTAATATTCTTTGTATTTTTGATTCTCATGCAAACTAAGAAACATCTATGCATCATTTCTACTTCATTCACCAATGTTTTTCAACAAGGAATACCTTATTATGCCTAATATTGTAAAATTTGACATATTCATTGCTATTTATGAAACTAGTTTTGATGCCCGCAGCAAATGTGTTGAATCATTTAAATCTAAACTCTCTAGAAACATCAATAACATAGCTACTATCTAAGATATTGGAATTTGGATAACATTAATTGTGCAATTTAGAAATTTTCGCTTATACTTTATTATGCATGAATGATGTAGTTCTGCTTTCAGTCTGTTTGTGCAATATTGAACAAAACCAATATTGGCTTCAAATTGGTTGATAAAGGTCAAAGGGTCAATTTTTTTGAGTGAAAATTGTATCTGAAATCAATATAGAAACAATTCAGCAAAATTAACAAAAATAAAATATTAAAAAATTTGGCAGACACTCAATTTCTTTTTAAAAACAAATAAACAGATAAAATAATTGCCTTGAAATCCAATAACATGAAAATACATCCAAATAAACATGAGTTATCTCCCTTGAACCATCAGTAGAAGGGAGGTAACTCTCATGATCTGAATGATGAAAATGGTGCAATATACAATGTTTAGTTCCAAGAGATAATTTTGGAGAGATTTAAAAGATAAAAGGACAAAATAAGATATTCTATTCCATTTTTGGTCATTAAAATATTGAAAATTAATTCTCTAGCTCAAAACAGATTAACTGTGGTCTTGTTTATGGTTGCGAATACATAATGTGGATATAAGTTTTGAACGCAACTCTCATGCAACTGATTTGTGTTCGGAACTTTTTACTAACGACAGCTTTTTAAATTAATAACAAAACGCTACTGTAATCGCTATTGTGTGAGGGAACCTTTCAGCTTAAATATTTTGAACAAAATGGAATAAGAAAGGAGATGATAGGAAGTAAAAATTGGAAATGAGAAATAAAAAGAGAAAAATATGATATTGAATTTGCAAAAAAAACAAATAAATACTGGCAAGAAAATATCAACATTTTGTACAAAAATTATAATTAGATGATTATTGACGCTGTTCCCTCTCCCTCCCTCCTCCAACCCAAAATGATCAAAGTAAAATACAAACATCTTTTTATGAAGATTTTAGGTGAAAATGTTGAAGAGATTCTTAATTTGAAATAGTGACCAAAGTTTTTAATAAAATTTTGAAGCTATAGAAATTGAGCTAAAAAACAAAATGTTTGCATTGTTTAAATTTTAAAGATAAACTCAAGTGTAAAAGGGTGAGCGTTTTATCCACAATTATACTGTATATTTTCTTGCTGTTGTTAATTATGAAATAAGGTGTTACAGTAGGCCTTATTCCATCTTCACAAGTCAAGCTACTACAAACATATAAGACGAAGTTAGTAATAGCTTGATATTGTGAAGATGATGTTATTCCTGAAGACATGTTTTATATTATAGACACACGGATTCAATACTGGGTCATCTTTCACAATAACACCTAGAATTCAAGTCCTTAGAGCTATAGACGGGTTTCCATCAATATCAGGTATTTGGACTCTCTGAAAGGGATGTTGAATCAACGAACCCAATCATTTTTCTCAGAGAATTCAAGCACTTAAAGCCAGGGAAATCTGTTAACAATATTAGGTATGTGGACTCTCTGAAAGGGATGCTGAATTGACAAACCAAGTCACCAGGAATAGTGAGCATTCCCTGCCTCAAAAGGATTTAAAATGGCATTTAAGTATACAGGAGTAAAATATGTAGGCAGGATAGGCAATGAGGACCTAAACTTTTTGTAAAATTGACAGATGACCCACTATTAAACCAACAATACTTCATGGTATCTATTGAGCTCGCATGAAACAAAAAACTTATTATAAAATAGGATAAAAAAGAATTAGAAATATTTAAAAAAGAGAGAATCTGTACAAATATTGCAACATTTAGGAATTTCCATGCATGTCAGAAAACCTGCTGACAAATTATAAATTACGCATATTTAAAAACACAAAACATACATACATACAATTTG